TTTTTTTTTTTTTTTTTACTGGGGTCAAACTTGGGACCTTGTGCTTGTGAGGTAGGCAGTGGCACCACTGAGCTAAATCTCTGGCCCTTGTTATTCAACTTTTATTCAACAAATACTTCATAAACATGTGTCTTGTGCCCAGCCCTGTGGGTACAGCAGAGGATAAGTCTGCAGCCAACTGGAACATATATTCTAACTTCAGTTCTCTAAATACAGCTCCTTTTACAGAGCAACTTAGATTGCTGTTTACTTTTTATTTCAGTAAGGACAGCATTACTAGCCGTCATTGGGTTTATGCCAACAAAAGGTTCTCTAGATTACACACCTGAGGAAAGAAGAGCGCTTTGCCTAAGTATGGATATCCTTTCTGTTCAGTCTGTTTCTTTCTTATTCCTAGGACATGGTATCACTGGTCATCTCTGTGAAGAGAGGCGCCCACCCCAAATTTATATGTGTATATTCATTCTTTTTTGGACATCATCATGCCTCCATATCACATGCCTGCTAGACAACATTCACAGCTCTCCTGCCAAGCCATCAGATGTATAGCCAAAGCTGAAATCATTATCTCTGATCTATCTCTTCTGTGTTCCTGACTTACTAAATGGCATCATACTTTTGAAAATCACTTTTTATCTCAAAGCCTTCCTGTCTATTCCCCTCTTTACCAGTATCTAGTTAGGACATGAAGTCCTTAGATTCTTAGCCTCTTGTCTTTTCAAGATCTGTAACTGGGGGCTGGAGATTTAGCTCAGTGGTTTCACCACCTGCCTTGCAAGCACAAGGGCCAAGTTCGATTCCCGGTATCAAAAAAAAAAGATCCTTAACTGAGCATAGCTCTGTACTGGTATTGAGGACATCAGTGTATCTTTATATATTAGTTCTTTAGATGCCAGTTGTGTAAATCATTTTCAAAAAGGTGCCAATACAACTTTTAAAAACAGCTTTTTTACTGTTCATTAAGCATCCACCATATATTTTGGAGTATTTGTAATAGGCCCAAAATGTGTTTATTTCTAAGGCTAATGGACGATTTGAAGTGGGCAAGAAAATCTGTTTGAGCATCTCAGGACATCATCCTGAAACTTGGCAGCCTTCATGGAGTAGTGAGTATTAATTAAAAATGAATTTAAATCTTAGAAAGTTTTATTCAGTTCATTATAATGAATAAAAATACACTCTTGAGATTGAAGTTGTTTTGGGTAAATAATTTGATATTGAATAAATAATAAAAATGCTTTTTCATGTCTAGATTTTTGCCAGCATGTTAATACAGCTCCTGTATTTGTACTTCTTCTGTGAAAGTCTTTGATTCTTTTTTTTATCTTTTCAGAATTAACCCAGTTTCCTTTACAAAGCAACTTAGATTGCTGTTTACTTTTTTAATTTCAGTAAGGACAGCATTACTAGCCATCATTGGGTTTATGCCAACAAAAGGGGAAGGAGCCATAGGTTCTCTAGATTACACACCTGAGGAAAGAAGAGCACTTGCCAAAAAGTAAGTTTTGCATCTCATTCTTTGTTAGGAAGCAGGCTCTGTCTCTTATTTTGTGAGTGACCTTGGCTCACAGTCTTATCTTATTGTTGATATTGTACAAATCCAATTCTCCTGAGTTCTTTCTTTTTTTTGGAACCAGGATCCAAGTTAGGACCTTGCACTTGTGAGGCAGGCAGTGGCACCACTGAGCTAAATCCCTGGCCCCAATTCTACTTATTTCTTTAGGGTTACTAGAATCTACTAAATTTTATGATTCTTTTGGTGGTTCTGGAGGAGGAGGGTTGATCCCAGGGCCTTAATAGTGCTGGGCAAGTGTTCTTCTATCGAAGTATACTTCCAGCCCTGCTATCTCATTTTTTAAAAGCAGTCGATAGTATTCTCTTAAGACGCATTTTACAATAGTGGGAGACATATTCTCCTGGAAATCATTTCTGGTTGTCTCTACTCAGAAAGTATCATGGAAGAAAAAAAAACAAAAACCTAATGATTACTTTTATTTAGCTTTTCATGAGATTAAAAACCGGGTGAGAGTAGAGGGAATTCACTGGTATCTACAGTATACAGCTCATGGTACTTACATAATAAATTATCAGAGTAAAGTAAAAATTTTATCAAGTTGTGATTGCCCAGTGTTACTACCTACACTGTCTTTTTTTCAGGTGCATTTTTTTGTCTATATAAAGTTAGTCATTTAATTTAAAGTTATCTTTCCTATGATTAGTGCTGAGATCTAACTCTTGATTTTGATAATTTCCTTGTACTGGAATTTGCTACCTGCCTTATTATGATGAGTTATAGCACATTTTACCCTAGCACAGCCCAGAGTGGCCTCCATAGATATTTATCAAATAGTTAGGGTGTGGGGGAATAGCCTAGTGGTACATTACTTATCGGCACTCAATTACCAACACCAGAAAATAAAAAAATAAAGTTATATTTTAGGGAAGATTTGGTAGACATTGTTTTGGGGTTTTTTTGTACCAGGGATCGAACTTGGGTCTTTGCACTTGCGAGGCAGGGAGTGGAACCACTGAGCTAAATCCCCTGTCTGACATTCTGTTCTTACTATCAACTATTATTCCCAAATTCTGGAGATATACTTTACTTGAAACTACTGTTCACAGGTTACAATATGTACTTTGCATACATAGTATTTTTATTTGATTTCCTGTGTTGGCTTTCTCTTTCGATAATTTTATCCAGTTGATTTCATGTACAACCTTTTTAAAAAAAACAAGTTTGGTTTCTTATAGTCGTACAGCATTTTGGTATATATATTCTAGCTTCTTGGTCTGTGATAGAAGCCCTTTTAAAAATGACTTTCCATTCAGCCATGGTAGTCTACTGTCCTTGTGGATAAACTATACATTAAGAATAAACACTTAAGGCTGGAGATTTGGCTTAGTGGTTCCGCTGCCTGCCTTGCAAGTGCAAGGACCCGAGTTTGATCACTGGTACCACAAAAAAGAAAAGAATAAACACTTTCCTATAAAGTTCATCTGACTTCTCAATACAAAAACAATATATTCTAAGGAAATATGAACAACAGTGCTGCTTCTGGTGAAACAAAGTATCTATCAGAAATACAAAGCATTACTTTTATAAATTTTCACATCATTTTATAAAATTATTTTGCTGCAGAGCGTTTTTTATACACAGTAACTAATTGTCTTGGTGAATTAGTATATAAACTATCTTGATCATTTTTACTTTTTCTTTCCTTCTTCCCCCTCTGTTTTTTTTATTTTATAAATTTAAGTGCATGTTCTTAAGATCTTAGGCTTTTGACTTATCAATCTAGAAGCACCATAAAAAATTGTTTTGCTTTTTATTTTTTGTAATGCTGGGGATCATACTTTATAGCCTTGCACATGTTAAGCAACTGTTCTACCCAGAGCTGCATCCTCAGCCCTAAAAACATGTTTTAAAAAAGAAGTTCAGTAATGTGACTGTGTGTTTCTATAGATTATACGTTTATTTTCAGTCATTAAAATCCTTATAGCAATTTTTTTTTTTTTTTTTTGGTTTTTTGAGACAGGGTCTCACTATATAGTTGAGACTGACCTGGAACTCATTATGTAGCCCAGGCTGGTCTCGAATTCAGAGTGATCCTCCTGCCTCAGCCTCCCAAGTGCTGGGATTACAGATGTGCGCCACCACGCCCGGCAAAATCCTCATAGCAATTTGAATACAAAGGGGATAGTGGAAAATTATATCTAAGGAAATAAGTGAATTCAGGTTTATCTTTAGAATGTATTTAATATAATCAGTGATAGATTCATTCTTAGTATTTCCCACAAGTTCTTCCAAGTCTTCAAGTTATACTGCTGTTTAAATGAGTAGGTTTGTAAATTTTTTCAAGAAATAATTGTGAAGTCTTAAGTTGACTTATTTACTGCTTTATGTTTCTGCTAAAAGATAGTTTGAGTTTTATAAAGGGCCCTTTTCGTAACCTTTAAATGGGCTTGTTATGTGTGAACTTAAGGACAATATCATAGATAATTTATACATTTTGTCACTATATAGATTTAAAGTTTAGTTTTCTTCTGGTAGTTTATTTTTAAAAAAAATCTAAGCCCTGGACCTTTTTTAATACAAAATCTTTTTCTACCAGATCACAAGATTTCTGTTGTGAAGGCTGTGGCTCTGCCATGAAGGATGTCCTGTTGCCTTTAAAATCGGGAAGTGACGCAAGCCAGGCTGACGAAGAAGCCAAGGAACTTGCAAGACAAATCAGTTTTAAGGTACCATAATTCCTAAATAAATTCTCATTATCTAGACTTTTTGTTTACTACTGAATTTTGGATAGAAAGAAAGCAATGTAGTTTTATTGCAATAGGTTTTACAAATAATTCTTTCTTATCACAAAACTCACAGTTCACAGGCTGGGTGTAGTAGTGTAGGCCTGTAGTCCCAGCTCTCTGGTGACAGCCAGGAGGATCACCATGAGTTCCGGGACAGCCTAGGCTACACAGTGAATTCAAGGCCAGCCTGAACTACATCATGAGATGCCATCTCAAAAAAAAAACATTAACAGCAGAGCAGTTAAAACCTGGACTCTGGTATACAATGCCAAGGTTCAAATCTCAACTTTGCATCTTATTAGTAGTTCAGTGTCAGACATATTACTTAACCATGATATATTTTTTTTCTCACCCATAGATAATGAGGGTATCCATCCTATCGGAATGGTATAAGGATTAAGTGAGTTAATATGGGTAGTACACATATTACATTTACCTTACCCCTGGTGCTTCATAAATTCTAGCTGTTATAAAAATATAGATAAGTAACAAGAATAAAATTATAAACCAGATGTGGTAGCACAAGCTTGTAATCCCAGCACTCAGGAAGCTGAGGCAAGAGGATTGCTACAAATTCCTCTCCAGCCTGGGCTAGTGAGACCCGGTCTCTTAAAAAATAAGTAAGGGCTGGAAATTTATCTCATTGGTGCTGCTGAAAGCTTAAGGTCCCGAGTTCGATCCCCTGTACCAAAAATTAAAGAAAAATAAAATTATCATCACCCATAATTACAGTCCCCCAAAATAACACAACATTTTGCCATATATTCCTTTTATTCCTTTTTCTGCATGTTTTACCCAGACATAGGATTTATATAGTATTTTAATACTTTGAGCAGCTGTACTTACAATTCTAATTTAAGAAGTGCTTAAAAAATATCAGCGTGTATCAAGCAACATGCTACCTCCTCCCCTTCTCCAGCTCTCTATACCCTGTCTGTCCTTCTGGGTTCATTCAACTCAACCTGCAATTATTGAATATTAAGCAGCACTTCATAATCAAACCCATTGACATTTTTACAGCAAACTTAGGGCTGTTGACACTAATGAGGGATAAAGACTACTAGGGGCCTGGGAATGTTGTTCAGTGGTAGAGCCCTTGTCTGACTGTACGAGGTTTGATCTACACTGCCACAGTTAAACAAACATTGCTAAAGACTGCAGTGTAGCTCAGTAGTAGAGTGCTTGCCTAGCACCTGTGACATGTGTCATTTGATTTCCAGCAATGGGAAAAAAATAAGACTTCAGTTGTGTCACATCACTTCATACCAGGCTTTGCCTAAAAATTGTCCAAAACAGCTTTTTATGAGTCCTTTTTAGAACTATAGATTGTGAGCCATGGTGTTGGTTTTGTTCCTCACCAAGTAACAACTCTTGAGAACAGGGATTGTCTCTTCCTGTAATGCCTAGGACAGTGTTAGACACATAGGTGTGAAAAGCTTTACTGATTGATAATACCTATTCAAGTAGCCATAAAAATAAATCCAAGAGAGGGAATTTAATAGGTTGTGTGTTGTTCTATATGTTTCTTCTTGTAACACTGTTCTTGGGTATTTCTTATTTATAGGCAGAAGTCAGTTCATCTGGAAAGACCATTGCTGAATCAGAATTAAATCACTCCTTTTCACTAAATGATTTACAAGATACCATACCTACAGCATTCCAGGATGCTATGGCCAGCACTTCGGTATGACTCTTACTTTTTAATATATATATTTCTATATCATTATCATTTGGAATAGAAGAAGGTCTCAGATCAAATATATGAAAATTTGGTTTTCTGAAAAGTTGGGTTTCAGCCCTACTCTTAATGACTTGTACAATGGTACTTCGGTTCACAAACTCAATTCTCTCCACATTTCTTGTTGTAAACCAAATGGTACAAGAACTAAATCAAATTTCCCTGTAAGGTCAACATTGAATTTAACCACTGAATTTGATTTGGTTTTTGTCCAAATCAGTTTGTGACCAGAATCATGGAAAGAATCAAGAACTGAGGTACCACTTCATTATCTTAAAGAATTTAAAGAATTTATTCAAACTTCCTGGCCTTTGGTTTTCTTTTTTAAGTGAGGCTAGAGGAAATAATTTTTAAGTCCTGTTGTCCTTCCAGAATTCTGTGATTTTTTTTGAAAAGTTAGTTTCAATATAGAGGTAGACTCTGAATAAAACAAAATACGTTAAGCTATTTTCTAAATGAGTACTATCTTTGGCAGGTTTGTGAAACTACATTAAAGCACTGACTTAATGCATATATGCAGCCAAAAGTTTACCTTAGACTTGCTTTGTCCATTGCACAAGCCACTAGCTACATGGGACAATCTTAGTTCACATTTAAATTAATAAAAATTAAGTGAAATTCAAAACTTAATTCCCTAGTCACACTAGCCATAGCCATGTGTGGCTAGTGGCCCCCATCTATAAATGTGTAGACACAGAACTTTACTATCACTGCCCAGTTCTATTTGACCATGCTCCCTTGTCCTTAGCATCCTTAAAGTAATTACTGAAAGAATGAATGAGCTGGGCATGGCGGCGCACACCTGTAATCCCAGCACTTGGGAGGCTGAGGCAGGAGGATCGCTGCGAGTTCGAGACCAGCTCAGGCTACATAGTGAGTTCCAGGTCAGTCTCAACTACACAGTGAGACCCTGTCTCAAAAAACCAAAAAAAAAAAAAAAAAAGGAATGAACGAATGCCATGCATTTTGTTAGTTGTTCCTTGACCTATTGTCAAAAAAATTGGTGGGCCTAGGTCATCAGAGACTGATTTAAAAAGTTTAACTGGACTGATGCTAAATAGGATTACAGGGAAAAACAGTGACTTCTGTATGTATATAAAAGACAAACTGAACTGTTTTGGGGTCTTTAATAAAATATTGTATTATTAGGTAGTCACATCTATTTTCTCTCCAGTTTGTGGAGGACATTTGTTTGTTTGTTTGTTTTCTTTTTTTGAGACAGGATCTCACTATGTAGTTGAGACTGACCTGGAACTCACTGTGTAGCCCAGGTTGGTCTTGAACTCACAGCGATCCTCCTGCCTCAGTCTCCCCAGTGCTGGGATTACAGGTGTGCACCACCACACACAGTTTGTGGAGGACTTTAGAAGGTCAGGAAAATTGAAAATGAAGCTAGGAAAAAGCAGGCTTGACCTTTATCCAGGAATAACATTATAACTGGACTGAATAGTTGTGAGTGGATTTTTTCTATTTAGAGTGAGCTAAGCAGAGAAAAGTAGGATGGAGGAGAGCAGAGAGAAGGGCCTCTAAGGGAGTTCTGTACTAGGGTGAGGGCTGAAGTTGAAAGTATGGGAAAAAAGTGATGTAGATGAGTATAAGTTTTTACATGATCCCAAAACAGTTGTATGAATGCAGAGGAATATAGTGAATTGATTTTCACATAGTTGTAATTTGAAATGCTAAAGTTTCAGATTATTTTTCATTATTAATATTCTTTTTTTTTTTTTTTTGGTACCAGGGATCGAGCTTGGGTCCTTGCGCTTGTGAGGCAGGCAGTGGAACCACTGAGCTAAATCCCCTGCCCGATACTTTAAAATAATACTAGAAACACTGGTAAAGAAATCAAGAAATATAAATCAGCTAGACTACAACAATGTCAGTATTATGGTAGTATTTATTTTCATGTACATAAAACAGGATTGTTTTTCATAGATACAGTTCACTAATTGAGACCAATTTTAGTTAAAATATGCATAAAAAATAAATTGTCTACAATTACAAGTGGATCTTTTAATTACATTTGCATATAAACTCAAAATGTGATTATATAATTTGACCACTATGGAATTAATGGAAACCTGGTTTTGGGGAGGGGTAGCTGCTTTATATGCAAATATAATATAAATTCACTGAGATATTATACATCAAATCCCAGATAAGCTACATTTTTTTTCTGTAGCCTTGAGGGGGTGAGAGACTGGAAAGTCTAAACACAGCAGATAACATCAGGCCATCTGTTGGTTTTTGATGCAGATTTTTTAGCTATGTAGAAATGGAAAAAATAGCTGATGGTAGTTTTATGTTCTTCCAGTTTATCAAATTTTCCTCTTTTCCTAGGGATTGAGGTTCTGAATAAACCATTCCATTTCCTAATAAAAACTACCATAAAATTATCTCACAGATGCTGGTTATTTTGTTATTATAGAAAAATTGATATATATTGCTAGGGATTTAACTATAACTATGATATCACTAGGTTTTAGTCAGTAATGTGTCATCCAAAAGGCATCAGAAATGTAGGAATGTAATTAAAACATTATATTTAAATATTTCTATTAAATGCATATACCGAACTATTACCTACAGTCAATATTTTAAGGAATTGTTTTTCTAAATATATTAATCATACTAATATAAGACCAAAAACCTCTTAAGTAAATTTCCATTTTTTTGAACCTTACTCTAGATGCTTCCAAATAATAAGCAGTTGTGTATTCTAAGCACTTTATATCATTATCCCATTTAATCTTCACAACTGCTGAATTGGATATTATCCTCATTGTACAGATGAGGGAGCTGAGATTTGGTTAAATAACTTGCTTAAAGTTACAAATGTACTAAGTGGCAAAGCCAACCCAGTAATGATAGGGCTCCCTGTTTTGGTCAAATTTTTAGGCAGGATAATGTTCTCCCCTCACACTAATGGGAAAAAAATAAAAGCTTTAATATGAACCAATCTCGTGTTAATTTTTGGATTGATATTACCATCATTTTTTTTCTTTTCCTTAAGAACCTCTTTCCTTTTAAGTCTTGAACATGTTGGTTCTCTTCAGTACTTTATGTTCTTGGCTGAGCAGTCAGAAGAATGGGAAGTTTCTACTGGAAATTTTCTTACTGGCTGCCATAACTCAGCTAAACTCTTTGAGTATTTGTTAATTCACCATATGACACTTGTGACAATGTGTATGGCTCATAAAATGCTGGGCTGTGTTTGTACTCTTCACTGAACAGATTGCTCCTTGGAGTCTTGGATTATGGATGCCCAAGTACACACAACTCCAATTCAATATCAGCACTAACTTTTATTTCTAACTCAAAGTCAGTGGTTCTGTTTTATGAGTCACTACATTTGAGTGATTCTAAAGAATAGTTTTAAGAAACTCAGATTTAGATTTAAGCCTTTGAATATTGAGATAAATGTCAAATTTAAAATAGAAATTCTTTTGCAGGTAATGTAGGTGAGCAGGTTTTTTCTCTATGTTTAAAGCTGTTGCCAGCACAAAGTTTAACTGCTTACCTTTTAAGAAGAGTATTTGAATTATTGATTACTTTGTCTTCCAGGTATTTAAATTTTCTCTAATAGAAATTATTTTGAAAGCTTTTTATACTTAAGTATGTATTATGTGAGTAAAACATGCCCCTTTTTTTGTTTGTTTGAAAGAATGTGTACTGGCAATAACATGTAGCCAGTGTACATTGGTTGTTTTCAATAAAAGAATTAAAGTCCATCATATTACTATATAGAGTTAAGGTGTCTGTATATAAATACTATGGAACTCATATTTTCCATAGCTTCCTCGAATATGCCCTCACCAGTTTTCTTATTGATAAGCCAGCCATATTTAAGATTAAAGCACTAACTGTCACATTCTGGTTATGCTGTAACCAGTCATGAAAGCAGCAGTCAGTGTGCCAAAGTAGAGGCTACACTGAGCTGCACCTTATTACCTCAGCATTGTTGTTAGATGTGCCCATGGAACCCTTGAACAGTGTAAGGTATCCAATACTAAGCAAAAGATACTTATGGACTTTTTTTTTTTTTGATACTGGGGATCAAACTTTGGTCCGTATGCTTGTGAGTCAGGTGGCAAAACCACTGAGCTAAATCCCCGGCTAGGATACTTATGGACTTGTGTTCAGTTCACTTCTCAGCAATTGTGAGAAAGGGTGAGCCTAATTTGAAGACCACATCTAAAATTTCTGCAGTATTACTATGAAGAATTTATGGTTTGAAATTGCTTCCTGTGGTCTATTACTATTAGTAAAGTATGTTGATAGAGTAAGAAAATACTGGAAGAAACCTGGTTAATGAAACCAGGTTGCTTTTTTTTCCATTTAAAATGTATAATTTTCAGCCTTAAAAGAGGAAATCAAATTATTTCCCTTCTTGGATCTCCTAAGAGAAATGACAGATGCTTAGTAATACTGCTAGAATTGTATCTGAGGGAGACTAGAAAGCTATTTGTGGAGAAAACAGGTAAACGTGTACTATGTACTTCGTTGCTGGTAAATTCCTTCTCTACCTCATGGGTACTCAGAATTTGTGTTAATGGCTTACTTAGCAGGGTGAGTTATTTGTCTCAGCATTCACATAATTCTTGGTAGTTTTTGCCCTTAGTCATATTTAACATTCTGAGATTCCTTGTATTCTTGAATAGATAACTATACCTACAAATTTTATTTGCAAAATCTCTTAGTATGCAGCCCAGAATCCCTCAGCAGCATCCTTTCAACAACCTACTCAGCCTGCAGCTAAGAATACCTCCATGAGCCCTCGACAGCGCCGGGCCCAGCAGCAGAGTCAAAGAAGGTCATCCATGTCACCAGATGTAATACAGGGCCAGCAGCCACGAGACAACCACATGGATCATGGCGGATCAGCTGTATTGATTGTCGTCCTGACTTTGGCATTGGCAGCTCTTATATTCCGACGAATATATATGGCCAATGAATACATATTTGACTTTGAGTTATAATACTGTTTTGTGAATTAAGAGCTGTGACTCACCTGCTTCATTAAACATTCTGCATTGGGTATAATCTAAGAATTGTTTACAAAGAAATTATTTTGTATCTATCTTTCATTCCTTTTTTGATCTTTATAAATTCCTTATAAATTTAGCTAGACATTCAGACCATGCCAAGCAGTGTATCCTGCATAGTTTAAAAGATTGGAATTCAGTTCCTTTTCTCGCTGTTTGATCTGCTTCACAGGGAAATAACTTACTATTATTTCTGATGCCTCAGTTTCTTCTTTAAATTTGCAATACCTTTCTGTATAGTTATTTGAAATTTTCAGATAAAAGATGTTATTTTAAGTTCCTATGAGTATTATTAATACCATTTATTGAGTACTGCTCAATAGGTAGAATGATATAGGGATAGAAGAATTGAAAAGGGAAAAAGCAAAATTCCAAGTAGCTTCTTTAAAGTGTCATTCATAGGGTATACATTGGGACTGACTGCCCATTCTGTGACTTTGTGTTCTAAATAACTTCAGTGAAAATAACTTTATTTTGGTCAAACATTTCTGAGGAAATGAAATTACATTTTTGTTATTGGTCGTTACTTGAAGTACTTTGTAACCACTTTGATATGCTCTTATCATTACCCTATCTCCAGTATGCACACAGATGAAAGAAAGAAGACAGTCCTTTATGACCTTTGGAAGAAAGAGCCCAAGCCTTGATTTTCTTCTAGAAGTTATGGGGGAGGATCTTAGGATTTGAATGTTTGCTGTGCTTTGAAGTATCTTTTGAAACATATGCCTAGCTCTGTGATCACAATAAATTGTAATTATTCCAGGAATATACATAATGTACCATTTCATGTATCATTTTAATAGAAAAGCTCAGGGGCCCAAGAAGCAGTGATAGAAGTTAGAAAAATCTTTACTCAGAATTGTCTACCTAACAAAGCCCAAGAAAGATTTTCAGTGAAACAGATCAATATCTTACTTAGTGCTATCCAGTTCCACATATGCTAGTAAGATAATTTCATTGTAATGATATCTGTTGAGACCATATAATCACAAAAAACAATTTTCCTTGGCATGTTTAGTTAGCAGCACTTTGGATGTTACTAATGAAGATTTAATTTTAAAATACAAGCAGTCTCCAGCTTCCAAACAAGTTATACTTTAGAAATGCATTTATAATTTCCTTTTACAACTCAGTGTAAATGAAGTTTAGGTTTTAGACCAGACCATGAAAGTTAGCCCACATGTATCTGGAATAGTTTAGGGGAGGGTATTCATAAAGTCCTCCTGTGATTTTAACTGAAGTTCTAGGCAAGGGAAAAAATTCATAAAATTATTTTAAAGGCAAATTTAATTTTTACTCTTATGGGGAGCTTGGATCTGTTAAGTATCAGACATAATTTCTATTTTCATTAAAGTTTTCCATTATGTCTGCATCTTTAAAAAGTACATGTTATTTACTGCTATATAAATAAAATTGTCTTAAAAAAACAAACAGTGGGCTGGGGATTTAGCTCAGGGGTTCCACTGCCTGCCTCACAAGGGCCTGAGTTCTATCCGCAGTACCAAAAAAAAAAATTGTCTTAAATTTAATAACTTAGCATTTTAAAATTGTTCACAGAGTGTTTCTGTTATATTTACAGCTGAAGTTGGAAAACTCTAAAGAGACCAAGGACTTTATGGAAACCTCATGTCAGGAAAGTTATAGATTACCATTTTAGAACTCTATTGCCATGAGAAAATACATTCTAAGGTCTTGGTTCATGACAGAAGCTATTAGAAATATTGGAAGTCACCAACCCAACTGGGAAGACCAGTTAGCATTGTCACCTGAGGAAGAAATCCTCATGCCCTCAACCTAACCTGAGACTGTGCTAGAAATAGATTTCTTTTCATTTAATCATCTAGTCACACTTGAGCCAATCTATGGATCTATGTGATCTTGCTGCATGTTTCCATGAGGTGTGCTTGTGGTTTATAATTAAGTGTTGTGCAGACCCTTTAATCTGATGTACTTGTCTTCCCTTACCCATCAAGTAACTGGCTACTTGCTTGTTTGTGTTGGGATTTATAGCACTTGATAGCACATCTGAAAGTGGAACATTTTTCACCTCACATATGCTCCCTAAAAATCCTTAAGTTGTCCCTCTGACCCTCATTGTGCGACCAGAAAGCCACATTAAATTTGATCTGGGGCTGTTTTAATTGAAACTCCCACTGAAGGTCTTATTCAGGAAATTATTATTTTTAAAGCCCCACTTTAATCCTTTAATTTCAACATAAGCCCAAGCTGGACGTATAATATGGTAGGTGAAGGCTTAGAATTCCTTATTGCCCTAATTCTGAAAGTTAGATAATTCATGGATTTTTCTTTGGCACCACAATACATGACTACTTATCAAGATAGTTAAAATGGCATGCTTCCAAAATACATGGGTTACCTGTAACTGTTTAAGCCAATGAACCTTTCAGGTTTTATGTAATGTGGGGCTTTTATGTAGCACTTTATTTCCATCTGCTTATTTTATTCTGAAATAGATAAGCTTCATAAAAATCCTCAGTTTTTTAAAACTAAAAATTGTTTATTGTTTTGACTATGGAAATATAAAATTTCCTATGTTAGGCAAATAACTTCATTTTGGTTTATGAACAAACATTCTAATATCTGAGACTCCTTTTTTATAGATCAAAATCAGTTAACAATTAAACCTCATGCACCTGGACTTGAGCAGAAACCTAGGGTGAAGTAAGCCTACATTGTTTTATTTCTTGCTAGTACATATATGCGATGTAAATGTGTTTAGTGAACCAGACATTAACCAAGAATCATGTATATATTGATTTACGCACCACTGCAGCCCTCGTAGGAGGTGTGCATGTCCCAATGTCAGGTGCCTTCAGAACCAATTTGAGCTGCTTAATAAAACCACTGGCTGTGTTCATACCTCGTTTTTGACCAAAGGTTGAATTCTTGCCCACCTAGCCTTATCTCTCACATCTTCTCCCTTGACCATCTTTTTCTTGTCTTCCCTCCTCTTCATGTTCTCTTCACTATTCTAAAATAGCCATTCTCTCTTCAGTTACTGCAGTTACCTCTTAAAATTTCTCTTAAGTTTTCCTCCATTCCTCACACAGCCAGACTCTTCTTCAGCACACAGATCTGAACTGTCTCTCCTACTGCTCCTAAGGTATACCTAAACTCTAATGCTAGGACACAAAGCTGTGTTTGACCAGAGTCTGCCTAGCTTTCTGGACTAATCTGCTCTCTTGTCTATCATGAAATGATGTTGAGGCCTTCCCACAGCTTTAAGCCAGTGCAACTGACTCCTCAAAGAAATGAGTAAGTGTTAAAAATTCTGCCATCTATGGGCTGGAGATTTAGCTCAGTGGTGCTGCCGCCTGTCTCACAAGCACAAGGTCCCAAGTTTGAGCCCCGGTACAAAAAAAAAAAAAAAAAAATTCTGCCATCTGCATAGACTGATGCCATAGACAGTAATTAACTCAAAATGTATCAAAGACTTAAACGTTGAACTAAAACTATAAAACTCTTAGAAGGAAACAAGATCTTTGTCCCAGTGGGTTCTTGGATAAAAGATCAGAAGTACAAGCAACCAAAGAAAAAATATGTTATAGTTCATCAAAAAAAAAAAAAATGTTTTAACACTATCAAAGTGAAAAGACAACACAAAATATTTACATGTAAGAATATCTGAGTAATAGTTACAATTCAACAGTGAAAAGATAACCTGATTTTAAAATGGCAACAGATTTTTACAAAGAAGGTATACAAATAGCCATTGTATACTTGTTAGTCATTAGGGAACTGTATATCAAAACCACAATGAGATACCATTTCATTCTCATAGGATAGCTAGAATAAAAAAGCTTGATAACAGGGCTGGAGATTTAGCTCAGGGCCTGAGTTTGATTCCTGATACTGCAAAGAAAAGATAAATGGTGAAGATGCAGAGAAACTGGGAATGCTTTGTATTTCTTGTGGGGATGTAAAATAACAGGTACTTTGAAAAACTGTCTGGCAGTGTGCCTCAAAAAGCAGAACAAAGTTATCACCCAGCAGTCCCATTCCCATGTATGTATCCAAAAGAGAAAAACATGTTCACACACAAACTTGTTTGCAAATACTTCAGCATTACTGTTAATAGTGAAAAGCGGGCCAGGGATTTAGCTCAGTGGTTCGGTGGCCTGCCTTGCAAGTGCAAGGACCCAAGTTCAATCCCTGGTACCAAAAAAAAAAAAAAAAAA